CCTAAAATATAAAAAAATTAATTTTTTTAAAATACTCTTAATACATAAAAGTAAACAGGTCCTCGTATGGTCAACATATTTAAAACAACATCTCATCCTTTACAAAAATATTTATGTGAAAATTGGGTGCAGAGCTACGCCCCAAGGGTGGGGAGCATCGATTTTCAATTTTCTTGTATTTATATAGTATCAACTTGTGATCATAATTTTGAAATTTAAGTTGAGGAATCGAAATTCAGATAAAAAAAACTAAAATAAATAAAATAAAAACCAAGTTATTTCAAATTTTTTTTAAAAAAAACAGATATTTAAATTGATCCAATAAAATCTTATCTAGATTTAACTGGGTGAATATAAAAAATAATTTGTAAATAATATAGGTAAGTTATCAACCTCAATTCAATTTTCAACAAATTAGCTACTTATTCATAGAAAATTCATATTGAATCATTCCCACATCGATAATAATTGGAAAGTATATTTCTAACATTATCAGGAAATGGTCATTTCTCTCTCTCTCTCTCTCTCTATATATATATATATATATATATGTTTTAGCGTGGAAGAATACAACATTTTCAAAATGACGTCCTCCAAAATTGCTTGCAAGGCAAACTTATGATCATGCCATCCAACTAAACCCGAACTTTAAAAAAAAAAAAGATGATGGGGGTGAACGTCTCTAGCCTTCGCTGATTTCGTTGACAGTGAAAGAAGAAAATGGCGACACGCCACCACTTTGGTGTCCATCGAGCAACGCAAAACAAATAATTGGATCTGTGTTGTCATCATAACTGGTCAAGGCACTCCATCGTTGTTTTTGGTGCAAAATGTTCAGCTGATGCAGGTTCCAGCAGCAATCATAAAATTAACAACTCGGGACTTTGAATGTCAACGTCGACAGGCACGCCACTCCTAAATATACCTAAAATGACTGCGAGAGTGTAGACAATTAAAACAATTATAGAACTTGGAATTTTCAATGTTGAATCTTAAACCAGCACTCGATAAATTGTTTTTTTTTAATTATTATTATTATTATCATTTCTCCATTCCAATGCTGACTGGATCCAGGATATGAGGCTACCTCACGATCCATTATGAAATTAAGCTATTTTTTTTATTGATTTATCGGTTAGGGATTCAACGGTATATTTAAAATTGGATTTAAAGGATTTAGTATTAATGAATAAGGGCTAAAAATATCTCCAATATGTAATTGTAACATTTAAAAAAAATAAAAAAATTAACTTTAAAATTAATATTTTTTTTTGTATTTTCAATTATTCCGATTTGTTGATGTTAAAAATAAATTTTAAAAAATAAAAAATATATATTTTAATACATTTCTAATAAAAAAATACTTTTAAAAAAATACCACTAGAAATGATGAATAAACAGTACATCGTGTATTATATGATCCATGACTTGAATTAAGGCTAAATACATGTTCCACGTCACTAGAAAGGCCTATGATTACAGAATAGCCCATAAGCCCAAATGAAGTCAACCCGCGTGGCTAGTTATTGGACAATGGCTTCTTCGGTCTCATAATTACACGGGTCGTCGACCAGCTAATAGTCCAGATATTTATAGTGGGCTTCACCCCATGGCCCATTAGGCCTTTGATACCCCCACAGTTACTCAAGCAGACCACTAGCTGTGCCCAAACAATCAACATCCTTGGCTGTAATTAAAGCATCAATGGACCATTATAATTGTTAAGATCATTGAATCTCCATTTGCGGATATTAATATATTTTGATTGTGAAAAGGATATTATTACTATGTTTAGAAAAATAGAAAGAAATCAGCGCTTTATTTCAATTTATTGACAGGGACGATGCTAGGCTATTTTTGGAAGTGAAGGCTGCAGTTAACTTAAAACAATTATTTATCTCCATGTTTGTGTTCATAATCAAGGGACCACAAAAAGCCGATACAAACGACGAGTAGGTCGGCTGCTTTTTAAGCCTTGTACTCTTATCCAAAGAAGCTATGCAAGCGTAGGGGGAACACTGTAATGTCGTATGATATTTAGGAAACTAAATTTTAATCCTTATAAATATTATAATATTAATTTTGGTCCCTTAAACGGGAGCATTGAAGAAATCATAAAATGGAGCCATAAAAATCAAATAATATTATCACAAAATATAATATACAGAATCAGGGATCACATTGAAACTTGAACTTTTAGGGAGGTATGGGAAAAACTGAGAAACTCTTAAGCCATAGAGGCATGAATGAAACACTGGTGACACGTGGGGACGAAAATGAAATTTACCCTAGATATTTTCGAAGCCGGCAGATATCAGTAGATATTTCTGTATATCCCCTTAGCAGGTGGCAGCGCTTGTGTGGACCCCGCTTGACACCACGCTTTCTGCGCGCTAACTCAAGTCACGGCGTTTCGCTAACCATGGTTTACCGGCCAAAAGAAGGCAACGGGGAGTGGTTGTGTGTGAATATGATTGCGATAGGGTAGGGTACGCGGAACCTGGATAGGATCGCTAATTCCTGTTTTTGGCACCAAATCCTGCTGCTGCTGCTGTAACTTTACGTCATGTGATTTTTTCTTTTTCTTTTTCTTTTTCTTTTTTTCATATGAGCGGCGGAGACAAGCCTTATGAAGCAAATCAGGAGATAATACGCTTTGAAATTTGAACAGCGTAAACAAATGAAAAACTAATGGGTGCAAGTATTCTTTGTAATTCCCGTTTGCTATTTTTTATTTTCAATTTTAAAAAAACTAGGAACAGGAAATTTTATTGTTTTTTTTTTAATTTTCAGTAGGTGTCATCCTGTATAAAAATAGCCTTTAGTTGAATTCCAGATAAAATATTGATGATGTCGCTCTACTAATAAGTTAAGCTTTTTAGGTTTATATTTTCCTAAATTTTAGATCTTTTAATAAAAAATTATTAAAATAATATTAATTATTTCACCACCAAATTAAAATAAGTTAGGGTCTGATTGGGAATTCCCTTAAATTTTGAATTTTTTTATATTTTATAAATTATATTGATGTGCTAATATCAAAAATAATTTTTAATATATAAAAATATTATTTTAATATATATTTAAATAAAAAATATTTTAAATTATAATCACTACTACAATTCTAAACTCATTATACATTTTCAATAAACAAGCCATAACAAGTAATAGCCACCCAAATATTACCACAAGTTTTATTTTTTTTTTCAGTCATTTGTTGCTAAATGAATTTAATGATAGAGGTTTTATACATGTCATGTAATAAAATTATTAACAATGTAAAATGTCAAAATAAATTATTTATGAATGAGCATGTGATTCGTATTGTTGATTCAGTCATTGCATATAGTTTGAACTAGCCTTGATAATCATGCTCGTGGAGGAGTTGAATTGTTTTGACATCAAATTAAAGTAAAAAATAATATAAAAAATTATTAATGTTAAATTTATAATTTAAATAATGAGGATTGAATTAAATTAGGATATCTCATCAAATTAGTGTTTTAGATAAAAAAAAAATATGAATAACTTGATAAATAAATATAACTGATTTATTAGATTTGAAACATTGAATCTAAAAAAATCATGAAGTTTAATTCTCAATCAATCAAATATTTAAGTATAAAATTAAAAAATAATTTTAATTATTCAAGAGGGTTTTAATAAACAACAATTAAAATAATGAAGAACAAAATTAAAATACAAAATCAATTTATATTTAATTGATTGGTAAAATTAAGAATAAAAATTAATTTAGTAAAAGGATAAAAAAATGAACATTGAAATTGACATGAAAAATAAAAACAACATTGTAATTAAAGGGTAAATTTGAAAAAAAAAATACAAAGAAGTTAAGAAAAAAAATTGAAAATCAAAACAACGAGAACCAAATTGAAAAACATAATACAATTAATTTGAATTGAATGATAAAATTGAAAACCATCAAAACTTTTATAAAAAACCAATGATAAAAATTAGAAATCCAAATAATAAGAACCACATTAGAGAATGCTTCGGATGACATGGTGGAAGGGTATTTGGAGGCGACACTCAAACAAGGTTTATGTTTTTTACCCAAAATCTTATTTTTCAACTTATTTAACATAAAACATCATAAAAAAGGAGCTTAAACACATGCATAAAACCATAAATAGCCTAAAAACAAAAAACCACGCAAAAACTCAAAATCTTAAATATGATTTTTTTTATGCAATTCAAAGATAAAAAAAAATACTTAAATAGAACTCTTATCATCAAATAAAATTCATTGACACTAGAATCAGTTATTTTGATACTAGAATTAGCGTTAACATTGATTTTATCTCTTTACCAATACAATCCAATCCAATAACTTCTCTCTCTCCTTTTTCTCTGTAAAATTAATGTCTGAAAAATAATAAAAATTAATTTTTATATCATGATTGGTTTTTTAAAATTTAAAAGGATTTAAATTATATAAATTATATTATTTTTTAAGATAGAGGAGATAAGTATATTTTTTGCAAAAAAATTGAAACTTCACTTATTTTTTATGTCTTTTTTATTTAGATATTTTTTTCTTTTAATTCTATTATTACCTAAAAAATGAAAGTAATTAGTTTTTAATTAAGATTAAATTACCAAAAAATAAAGCTTTGAGATCTAAATAAATTATTAAAAAATAACCAATGAGTTTTCATCTACAACTAGAATATCACACTTCAAGTGTTTGCTATAATCATAGCATTCATGGAATTATTTAATTTTATATGACATCCAATCCATGCAGTGTTAAAATTATATATATATATATATATGCCTTGTCGCTATGATGCACCCCCTAGAAGTCAACTTGCCCCTGACCAGACGCCCAGGCTACATATATTCAACACCAGACACTAACGATTCCTCGTAACCAAACAAGCTCGCACATTCACCGCTTCGAAATTTAACCCCAGTTAACTCCCAATGCGCGCAATACGCACCCGCTCCCATCTATAAAGTCATCATCCAGCCTCTTGTGATTTCCTCATCCTTTTCTATTCTAATTTACCCTTCGTCTCTATCAAAAATATCCTAGGGTTTCTCAATGGCTGCTGAGGTTGAGTACAGGTGCTTTGTTGGTGGCCTTGCTTGGGCCACTACTGACCAATCCCTTCAAGAAGCGTTTAGCCAGTACGGTGAAATCATCGATTCGAAGGTCCGTTTGCCTTCGCAGAAACGGATCTGACCCGGCCCGATCGGTTTCGGCTCTGGCGATCCATTATCTGTTTGATCTGTTTGTGTTACTATTTGTTACTGTTCTCTGTTCTCTTTTATGTTACTGTCACTAACCACCAATCGGTACGTTCATCTTCAGTGCTTTGGCTCGAAGATCGATCGATTTGTTCATTTTTTCCTCTTCTTTACGATGGTCCCTTTAGATCTGATCAGGTTTTAATTGTCCACAGATTATAAATGATCGTGAAACTGGAAGATCTCGCGGTTTTGGATTTGTGACTTTCAACAACGAGAAGGCAATGAGAGATGCGATCGATGGAATGAACGGCCAAGACCTTGATGGGCGTAACATCACCGTGAATGAAGCACAATCTCGTGGAAGGAGGGGGGGGTGGCGGCGGAGGCTCCAGCCGCGGTGGCGGTTACGGAGGTGGGCGCCGAGAAGGCGGTTATAACCGTGGTGGCGGTGGATACGGCGGAGGCGGCGGTGGATATGGTGGTGGTGGTGGAGGATACGGTGGTGGTGGTTATGGTGGTGGACGTGACCGTGGGTACGGTGATGGTGGATCAAGGTATTCTTCCAGGGGTGGATCTGAAGGTGGTAGCTGGAGGGATTAGGTTTAGGACACGTGGTTGTTTTATGATTTTAATGGCTTTAGCTTTAGTTGTGGTTCAGTTTGGTTATGGTATCTCTCGTGTTCTGATTTTGTGGTTGTTGCTTTTTTGACCGATGGTTACTTATTTGTGTTCACTCTGTTGAAAAAATTGAAATGAAGTAATAGATCTTCGTTTGCGAACTTACGCCTCTTTCTGTGTTGTTTCGTTTACTTTCGCTCACACATCCAAAAGTCATCTAATTTTGGTATAACTAAGCTGCTGGTCGAATAAAAAAACTTTAACCTAAAAGTGATGTAAAAATCAAAGGATAAAAAACTTGAATGACCAAAATAAATTAAAGAACAGTTAAAACAACGCTGGATGCGGTTCGACTGCTTTCCTGATTGGTTGGTTAACAGACGTCTCTTTGTTTTCGTCTTCTTCAAAGTGTACAGATGCAATGCGTGTAACGCTAAACAACAACCAGAAGAAGAGTGCGAAACAACAGCTCTGATTGGGTGGTGTTTGAGACCGCGAAAGATCTCGGATGTTGATTTCTAGGGTATATATCTCTTGCTTGGGGCAGCGTCAAAGGAAATGGGCCTCGTAGGGGAATTGAAAAAATAGATAATAGGATTCGAGTAAGTTAGGGAGGATAAAAAGGCGACCAGCTGGATGCTGTTTCATGAAGAAAACATATGCCAGTTGTCAAAAGGTTATGCAAATACTAAAAATAAAAGATTAATGAAAGGGTCAAAAGTAAAAAGTTGATGACTTGGGGGGCATAAGTGAAAAAAAAGAAAAGAAAAAAGAAAGAAGAAACAAAACTTAGGGAACCCACCTAAAAGATAAAACATAAAAAAGTGAAATACCAAGTTTTTTGTATCTATGATAAAATCTCCTGTTAAAAAAAATATAATTGAGATAAGAAAAACTAGATGATTATTTTTTGTTTGAAAATATATTAAAATATATAATTTTTTAATTTTTTTTATATTAATACATCAAAATAATATAAAAATATCAAAAAAATTTAATTAAAATATAAAAAATAAAAAATTTTAATTTTTTTTAAAAATACTTTTAAAATATATAAAAAATCCCTCCATTAACCAAAAAAAGCTAGACTAAAAAGATGATTCATTTATTTTAGTACGGGGAGATAAATGATGGTTTGTGCCAACCAAGAAGTTACCGGAGAATAAAATATTAAATCAAATCATTAAGCAAACGAGTGTCAAACTGAAATTTAAAGTCTAAGTTCGGGCTAGTTACATATCTGGAGCGATAGCTAGAGAGATTATGGATTGAATTTCTCCACAACCACTATTAAACATAAGAGAATGCTTTTTAGGTACTAGATGTGGTTTGAAAATCAAGTAAGATTCATTTTTAATTTAAAATTTATTTGTAATCCTTAAAAGCACCTATAAAATACATATAAACTAATTTATTAACCTAAAAAATTTAATAAATAATTTTAAAATACAAAATTAAACAGAGTTAGATTTATCTTTTTTAATTTCAATATTTTTAGGTGATATTGAGATTTTGAACAATAAAATTATTTTCAGCCAAGATAAATCAATTTAATGGTCAGGACATTCAAAAGCAACAAATTGATTTGTTTCTAGTAACGTGGAAAGCCATCCTATAGATTAAAAAAAAAAAAAAACAGGTACTTTTAGGCTTTTATTACAGTAAATTACAAATTGTTTTTTATAATTCTACAAGATAAGTTAAATGATTTTTCTAATTTAAAAGCTTTATTAATTAGTTTATATGTTTTTAAATCTATTTATAACTTAATCATGTTCCTTTTAATTTAATTTATTCTTTATTTCAAGAAATAGAAGAATAAAAAAAGATGATTTGAAAAGATTGAAGGAAAAGTTACTGAACGTTTCATTTCATAGGAGAGGCAGGAGATGAAGGTTCATGCTGGCAACTTGAAAACAGGCAAGCAAATGAAAAAAAAAAAAAAAATCGAACAATTAAAGTTAAAGAAACACAAGAAAGTGTATGCCGTTGATACTGCAAAACCAAAGCGAGAAAAACAAGGAGTCCAAATATAAAGTTGTGTCGGAAATATTCTAATATTGTGCAAAACGTATATTATGGACGTTTAAAAAAGGGAGAATCAATAGATTTTATTTAGAAAGTCAACATATAAATAAATTTATTATGATTAATGATTCGACTAACCATCAACTTTTATAATTTCGTAAATTGTACTATAACCGAAAGAATTATAAATTATAATAAAGTGAATAACTCCTGTTAGGAAGCTTCACTTACAAACTGGAATGATAAGTTATCTTGGATGATTGTTTACATTTTTTTTTTTTTTTTTGAGGATTTGATCAATTTTGGTTTTAAGTTACTTATTTTTTTTTTTTGATTTATGTAGGGTGTTCAGGGCAGCTTACGCGCACCACGACTAATTCCCACGATCCACTGAACATCCTGCAAGACCAATGAGCAGGTAAGACACCGCGGGGATGACAGACGTGCACGGTAAGGCTTTACCTATTTGATCTGTGTTCCGAACGCAAATTAAATATTTTTTTTTAAAAAATATACTTACAAACTTTTATAATGTATTTTTATACATAAAAAAAATCCCAAATAGAATTTGAAAACTTTATGCATATAATTAATTAAATAAATTGAGAATAATTAATGTAATAAAAAAATCATAAATTTAATATTTACTTAATTGAGGTCAATTAGCCAAACTCATGATATGAAACATAAACTCAATTGAGTTTAATATTTTTTTATCTAAAATAAATATTTATAAAATTAAGAACCAATCCAATATCAAGATGTTTATCTAAAATAAATATTTATAAAATTAAAAACCAATCCAATATCAATTGGAAAAAAATAAAATTAAATCAAAATAAATTATGTTATTTAATTAATAAGTAACTAAATATTAAGTTATACAATTAAAAAAAATATTTTTTTTTAAAATCTCATTGTAATGGATAAAAAAAAAGAGAGCTAATCTCTCAAGTTATGAAGACGTAAAGCTCCTAGGCTTTAAAAAAAAAAAAAAAACTTGACAAGTAAGCCTAATTTTTTAAAAATGATTTTTTAATGGAAGGACGACAAGTTATTTATCCCTTAGTTATTTGTGAAAAATTACAGTCGATGCATTTGCCTACCCTACCCATATTATAGCAATCTCTGGTCATCAAAAAATCAGGTTGGTCTATTTTAGATCAAGAAAAATCTATTTTCAACTATATTTTAACTTGAGAAAAAAAAAATCCAAACACATAAAACATATTCATAACCTTGAATAACCTAAAAATTGGTTTAAAGACCCATGATCAACTCGGAATAAAAATTCTTTTTAGATTTAGATCTATCATTTTAAGTAAGTTTAAGGAAAACATTTTGGATCAACTCTTTTCGTAGAAAAAAAAAAAACTTATTAATATTAGAATCATTCATTTTCATGGTTAGTTCCAACCAATTTTTTTTCTTTATTATTAAAATTTAGCTATTTTCTCTTTTATTAGATACCATTAAAATTTAGCTATTTTCTCTTTTATTAAATACCAAAAAATAAAAAAAATAAAATTGAAATTTAAATTTAAAATTAATAAATTATCAAGAATGAAAGTTGGAGTAGCAAAATGTATACTTAACCCCAAATTTTAGAAACACCATCCTTTTTTGCTGTGATTTTTATTTTAGTCTCTTGTCTCTTAATCTTTCTATTTTAATATGCGATTAATTTAGATCTATAAGAGTGTGTAATTAGAAAAAAAGAAAGAAGGAAAAGGGGCTAAAAAAACAAATTATTATAACAACCTATATGTCTCTAGTTGAACAACAGGCTTGAGGGACACTATTTTCCCCGGTTTCTTTATCTTTCCGGTGGTGAGTAGATTCGTTGCAGAGTAGGCCCAATTCATTCTCGCTCTGATGTCCTTGGAACCATAAAAAACTGGCGGTTTCTAATGCATTCATACTCCGAGAGTTACTTCATTAGTTAATTAATGCTATGTGCTTGTAAGAGCTGGCTTCAGAACTTCTGCAAAGCTTCTGTGACCGCTTGATGGTGAGTGGAGCGTGACTCACGGCTGGCACTGCTGAGAGGTTCTGCACTGAAAGAAGAAAAAAAAAGCAAGAAATGCTTTTGGGGATGGAGCAGATTTTGGTGGGCTTAGGCCAGATTTGAAGCTGGCCCAACTAAACGAAGAAGCTGGCGTGAAAAAGTGCCCATTTCAATGTAATACACCCCGAGAAGGAAGCATTGGTCTCGTCTAGATAGTTTGAAGCTTTAACTGAATCTTGCTTTCATCTGTGGATGGTCTTTGTGAATGGGGCTAAGACCCTTCAGTTAATGAAAAATCATTCTTGTTCAAGGAAGAGAGAGTTGTCGATTTGGCCCAAGAAAATCCAGACCCAGTAGTAGTCTTACTGCAACCCGGACATAGTGGGCCCTTCTGCGGGATTTGAAAGTTACTTTTGAAAACCATTTTATTCTACTTTCCTTTTCATTACTAAGAGATTGGGTGTGTTTGATATTATATCAGCTTTCTGTGGTTCTAATTTGAAAATTTTTTTTATAAAAGTTATTATTAGTTAAAAATAACATAAATTAATTTTTTATTTTAATTCAAATAATATAGATTTAATTATTATTACATAATGAAATCACCAATCCCTTTAGAAAAGGTGAGGACATACTAAGAATAAAAAATTAAGAAAGGGATAAAAGTATAAAAAAGCTCTAGACAGGAAAGATGAGAGAAATTTTAATTAAGAAAAGGTGCAAAAAGTTGATGGGGGAGCATAAGTGAAAAAAAGAAGAAAAAAAGAGATAGAAGACACAAAACCGAAGGGAAAATACATCTAAAAAATACATCTAAAAAATCGAAAGACAAGATAGTGAAATATCAAGTTTTTTAGTATCTATAATAAAGCCTCTTGTTAAGGAAAATGTGATTGAGATTATATTATTTTTGAATGATTAGATAAAAGACAAGTTATTTATCAAATGCAGAGTTGGAGTTGATTTATGATTTTCGCTAAGATAACAAAAAGATGAAGAAGTATTATAAGATAAATGATGAGCAATGAACTTTATTCTTCTTTTTAAGTTTAAGATTAACAATGAAAGAAATGACATGGTTATGGAGCTTCTTGAACCATTGATTGATAGATGTAAAAATTTCGATTC